AGCTCCTTAAAAATAAAATCGCTAGGTCCATGTCTTGCACTGCAAGCTTTCATTTTAACTATTTCTTGTATGCTGGAATCAAAAATTAGCCCCTCAGCTTTCAATTCCTTTGACTGTAGCAGCAAGCTTCTCCTGTTGACGGTAGACAACAGGGGCTTTGAAGCATTTTCCTGTTTTGTTTTTACATGCTCTTAAGCCATTTCTGGTTTGGATATATTTTGTTTCTCTTTATCCCAGTAAGGTTTCTACAGAGTTGCGGTTTATTAATTGAAAGGTGGTATTTTTCATTGCAGCAATACCACTTTCAGTGTACAACACAAAATCCGTAAGATTTTTTCATTCAACAGTGCTAGTGCCTTTTCTTCACTTCAAGTAGTTCTGCAAATAACCAAGCCCTCTAACCATCTTAGGAGAAAGAGTGAGCCAGTTCTAACGATCTCCCGGGGAAAACAAAAATGAAGTGTATAGTGTCGTCTGCTTGATCTTTAATTATTATTTAATTACTCTACTAATATGCTCTGGAATTGCACTCTATTGGACGATTGCAGATGACTGCTTTTATTACGTGAACTTTTTCTTCCCAGCACCCCAGTGGTTTTAGTGGGTTATTAGAGAGGAAGCGGGTTATTAACAGTTGCGTATAACCAGAGGTACCTCAGTGTTACAGGCAGAATTGAACGGGATGCAGTCTCCTGACTGGTAAGGATGGAGGCGGGAGCCCAGAGCTTGTGCCTCAGGTGACCACCAAGAGCTGCTGGCAAGGACCGGGAGGGCGAGGGAGGCGAATGGGCCTTCTTGAGGCTGTTGGGTTTCAGGGGGTTGCAAGGCTGTGAGGCAGAGAACGGGCACCATTCCCTTGCTGAATCCAAAGTGCTGGTCTTGGGTACAAGATCAAGGTGTCCAGCACCATTTTATCAAGCCCTTCTGTCTCTGGGGTTTCAACAGCTTTGTCCTCTGCCAAAAGTACCACCCCTGCTTACCACCCTCACTGCTCCCCTCATTCCAGGGCCCAAGACTTCGTTCCTCTCCTGCACACGCACGCATGCCAGTCCTTCTCTGTCTCTTCCAATGCAGGGCTTTTGTTTCGTTTTTAAATCCAACCTGAGGGAATAGGGGTTTATTTATCTCCTTATTTCCTGAGCCAAATACACAGGCAAGTCCCCAAAGTTCAACCAAGAGCAGTACACAAGGGATAAGTAGTACCTGGAAGCAAAAAGAGCAGGTATGACCACATAGAATTTTACTGTCTATTACTCGTGAAGACGTACAAATATTTTCTTCTACAATAAAACTTCTAAAAGCTCGTTGAAGAACTTGCTGTAAAACACATTTTTCTTAAATGCTTCAGTTGTGGATCCACAGAAAATAAACACAAAACAGCTTTTCAAAATAGCTTCAAAATAAAAGACCTTTTACAACCATCTGGAACATCAGACCTATGTGATGTCAGGCTGCTTAGGCATCTTCTTCAGTAGAGATGCAACTGTAGAGCTTCCCGAAAGATAGCCAGTTAAGTTGGGGGAACAAGTACGTTGGTGTTAAGTGCAGAGTGGGTTACCACATCTGTTCCCCACCTTCCCCTCTCCCGATCCCCTCCAAAAAAAAGCCGGTTAGTTATGTCAGAACAGTTTTTACCGTGCACAGGAGCAGGGCTCCAGGGGTGGGCAGAGGGAGAGGGACATGGGGTTTTACATTTTACCGAGGGGCCAAGAGATGAGAGGACTTCCATTACTTACCAGGAATGGCTCACTAGGTCAAGCGAATAATGAAGTAATTGGTACAAACTGCAAACTATGCTCAGCACAATCTGCAGTGACGGAAACTGCTGTTTACAAATTAGAATTGCTAAATACTAAGGGAAACAACAGCAGTGAGAGCAGAGTGACACAGCCAAGTTTTTCATTAAAAAAAATTAAAAATCAACAGCTTTGGGATTCATGGAAATGGCTTGAATGTGTCCTCTTGTACTAATGTGCTTCAACAATGAAAAATACAATCTATCTCATTTTTTAGTGTTCCACTGAATTTTTAAATTAAAATTGCCTTTAAAGGCAATCATACTTTAAAAGTAATCATACCTTAAAGTCCATCATACTTTGCTCTGTAATGTGGTAGTGGGGAAGAGGACAAGGCAAGCTAATGAAATAATCCGACCTGGTGAGGTGAGAAAGGCTTACAAAGCTGCAGCTAAGAGCACAGTTTTCAAGGGACATGCTGATATGCTATGGACATCGTGCAAACAGAGGCAAGCAACAACGGAGTGAAAAATTATACTTGGAAAACTGGTGCTAGGAAGGAATGAGTAGATTGCAGGATGAATTGAGTAGCTGCTTTTGAATAAAACTTACTGAGCAGCACATCCTCCTTCAGCATTGTTAACAGTGGCACGAAGTGGTGGTTCCCCGATCTGCTGAGGGGGGTAATGAGCTAAGACACTGGGCTTTTTACCTCTCCAGGGCTGGGTTCTTACCCCTCTGCCTCCTTAGCCTCCTTAACATAACTTTACCTTGTTATGTTTTCACTTGAGTTTGAACTTTAGCCAAGAAAAAGAAGTCTAGGTATAATTCAGGTATAATCATTCTTTTGGCTCTTCTCAAAAACCAGCAGTGGGTTTTGATTTTCTTGTTCACTTAGAGGGTGAGCAATTTTTGAATTTTTGCCTAGTAAATTCCTGTATAATAGCAATAGTATTGGAAGTTGAGATCAAACTGGATAGCCAGGATAAGAGAGTAGTGACTAGCATTGCAGGAAGAAGCATTAAATTAAGCAATAAACTGTGCTTTAGTGATACTAATGCTAGAAAAACTCTCACTTTAACTAGACTAAGAGAGTACACTTAGTGTGCCAGAAGGCTGGCACTGTTCAACAACTGGCAGGCTTTGTTCAAAAGTGTTCACTAGGTCTGCGTTCACTAGTGTTGGAGACCAATAAGCAGACACATTAAAAAAAAAATAAAAAAAAATCCCACAACACTAAAAGATGTCTTCTCAGTGGTGTACATGCTTTTTATTAATAATGTGATTACAAGACATTAGTTACAAACAGTTGATGTCAAGGTGACCGATATCAAAGGTGTAACCTGGAGAAATGAGGATTTATTAAGAGTAACACCCCCGCCAAACGAGGTTCTGTCAACTCCCCTGCTGGACCTGAACCTTGCTGGGGGAGTAGGTAGTCTAAGGGGGTGGGCCAGAACCTGAAACGCTACGTGGAGATTTTGGCTTTAAGGTGTGACAATAATGTACACTCTCCTGATCTCGATACCACACAGAATCTCTCTCTCAGCTCTGCTCAGTCTGCCAGCAGACCTACTGCAAGTGGGTTATGTGACCTGCTCTGTTACCTCCGCCCGCTCTGCAGCCCTAAGAGGACCAGCAAAGACCTATGCATGTTACCGAGAGCTGGATGCAAATGTGCTGGAGGGAATTTGAGTTTGAAAGAAGTCATTTTGCTTCCACACTCCTTCTTTTGTTTCATTTAACAATGAAACATTTAACATTTAATAGTAAAGTTATGGAAGGTGGAATAGTAATCCGTAAAACTTTTTAATTCATGATTGCTTTCATGGGGCTTCTTAACCAACAGCACAGAAATTATATTGCTCCGCTGTCCTGAGCTTAGAAACAGAGTGGCCCCCCAAGAGGAAAAACGCAGTTTATGGTTATTTTTGCTGCCCACATTGTGCTAGGTAGGCGCGCTGCTGTGCAAAACATGATAACAAGTGACATGGAGCAGCAGCCCATATTCTGAAGCCACCTCATAATGGCAGTCAATGACGCATCATGAAGTTCTGGCATTTGAGGGAGTGCCTTCACCGTAGCAAATACAAAAAACATACCAAAGGATCTACTCAATTGCCAAGCAAAGACATCTTTAGTAACAAGTGGAGTCTGGGAAAACTTAGATTCTTTAAAAAAAAATCAGTCCAAGTGGATTTAGGTTTCAAACAGATTTAGAAAAATTTTCTTTCACTATCTTACAGAAGCCTAGTGGTGATCACAGACTAACAGCACTTACCTTCACTACATACTTTGAGATATAGTGCAGCCATTTAGCAAGTTGATTACCAGCACGGTCCTGCATTTAGCACTCTACTGTCATAAGTAATTTAAATCACTCCAGTTACCTTGCAAAAATCTCATCATTCTTAAGATACAAGATGTATGTATTTCACACTCTGATCCCAGAATAATGAAGTACTTCATATTTGTTCTTTTTGTGCAGTGATTAAAAGTTTTCTGACTTATCTGAACTTCCAAATATAACAGTCAGCAGATTTATTAGGGCTCACAGAATAGAGTGGGAAGCAGAACACAGAATAATGTTAATGTTTCAAAAGGCCTTTTACAGAGCTATTATTACTGTTATGTTGCAGTCAGTGCTTTTTTAATTACATTATTACATCCATGTTTTTATAATATTTTCTGTGTTTCATCATCAAACTTACATTTCCAAGGCTGGCCCTTGGATGAGGGGAGATCTTTAGATCTTTCAATCTAGATACAAGTTGAGGGCCCAGACTCTCAGCTAGAATCAAGCAGTCCGGCTCATTTGCTCACCATGTAATGATGCTGATGAAGGATGTGGCCCAATAGCACAACGCTTAAAAAGCTGTATGTCCTAAAATACATGCAGTTTAGTATTGGCCACGTTCATCCCTGGTGAAGGAACGCCGAAGCCTAGCGAATGCAGTATGACTTTGGGCAGGCTGGCACATCGCATCCTCCTTTCCAACTACAGCACGGTCCCGTAACGTATTACTCAAAGCGCTCTGCTGAAAACATGCCAGTGTAAAGACGTGATAGTTTGTCACTGCAAGAGAATGGGTATTTTTTCCAACTGTGTCCTGCTAATTAATCCAAGAGCATTTTCAAATAATTTAAGCGTTATCTTACAGATTGAGAGAAAAGCAAAACATTAACATATATAATTAAATAAGTGGGGAAAAAGATGAAAAATCATCAGAAAGTCAAGAGAGGAACACAAAAAGTGGCAGAATATTAGACTATTTCTCTGCCTCTAAATTCACTCATGACTTGGACAGGATGGATTCTCTTCTTTGCAGAACCTTTTCTGACAGCTGCATAGATTTCTTCTGGCTTCTCCCTTTTAATTAGGGGCTTCTTCTCTGGAGCCTTCATTCTCCACATCACAACAGGATGTCGTGGGCCAGTAGGACTCTGAATCTTGATAATCTTTGTGGATGCAATGTAGGACATCTTCACTGTCTGCACCACAGCATTCATTAAATTTTTGGCAGCCTGAATTAGTGAAGTGACGCTATCCAACTGTAATAAGAAACAGAAACATTAACCTAGGAGCCGGTCTGCTTTTAATCACATGCACTGAGGAATAAACAACGGTTAAAAAGTAAGACTAACATACCAAACACTAATTTCTTTGTTTTCCCTTGGTGCATTTGATCATTATATTTACATCCCACTGCTCAGACTTAAAATGATATCCAGAAATGTGTGCTGGCGGAATACAAATGCTTATGTAGATGATGTTTGTTGTTTTCTTTTTTTAAATGTGACTTCATGGTGCTTGTCTGTAGGGTCTCATTGCAATTACTACTGACAGGTAATGACACCACCTCAAAGACGAGCTATGAAAATGTGACCCATTACTTCCTTTCTATCTGCACTAGGCAAAGTCTCCAGCTGCTCCTGTCACATTCCAGGCTCCCACACATGCTCCTGAGCAATGCTGGGATACTGTGAAGTGGCTCTGAACCTAGTCTCAGCGGCCAAGATTTTTAAGGGTAATTAAAAGCGGGACAGCACACAGAAATTGCAGTGACTGTGCGGCCTCCCAAACTGCTTAAGCAGTGCCAACCTAAGAGGCAGAATGTGCAACAAACCCACCCCTATCACCTACTACCATCTCCAACAGCATACTATGCAGGTATACAAGTGTTAAAGCAAAGGCATTTTCCATCATTATTCATGGAAAGAGGAAACAGTGCATTGAATTCGAACTAAAAATGCTAACTGGAACAAAAGTGACGGCTTTAACAAGCGAGTTGGCTCTCCCGTGCTGCTCTGTAGTGTAATACAAGCAAACTCACTGATGGCACTGCTCCCTTCACACACTTGAGGCCTGCAGGCTGCACAGTGTCTGTGGGCTGAAAGCAGAGCGCGCTGGGGATGCTTCACTGCCTTCGTCACCTCCTCAGCCCCGACGCCTGCGGCAGCCTAGCCAGAGGCTGACTTACCAACGTTGCGCAGTCGCACTGTGCAAACAGCATATACGATCCTATGACGTGTGTTGAGTAGAGGCATTTTATTCTGCGTTAAGCCCCCAGTGAATCTTAATCTCCAGCTCCAGGCACAGATCTGGTCCAACATGCTCCAGAAAGAGATTTCAAGCAGGCTGTATACACAACAGTTACTACTCTGATGGGGAAAGCCTATCTCATGGGCTTTGGCTTGACAAAACCAAGAACAAGCACAAGTATTTGATAAAAGGCCAACACTGGCAGAAGTACCGATGCCTGTAATTGGCCATCGGTATTACTTCAACCCTTGGAAATGAGAAAAAGCCGCCTTCTCATTTCTCATGTGCTCAAAACGTAGACTGATAAGGCTTAGGCTTATCCTTTCAGAAGTAACAGGGACAACACACACAGAGAAGGGGAGGAATTGGGGTGGAGGGGGTGGTGTATGGGGGTGTCTTTCCATGTCTTGTGGTCTTAAAAGCCACGAGCAGAGAGCTCGGTGTATGTTTGCGACAGCTGTGTCTAATGTCAGGCATTGCACGCCACCCCGGGCACTGCAGAAGATACCGCCACACATCCGGTGCACTCAAACAGGAAAACGTTATACCATTTTAGGCAAAATGTTCACAATTTTATTTCTGGTCGTATGGAAACCCTTTTATTGACAGGGTTGGCTAACAACTGAATAATGCTGTATTTTGAGCACAGTACTTTTTGTACCATTAAGTTTCTTTTGGATTTATTTGCTTAAGGCTGTCTTCCCCCTTCAACTTTAGGTACCTTTGCTGTGGTCACAGTGCAGTGAAGAACTGCTAGGGACAAATATAGGGCATAAATCTGTATCTGTCTGAATAAATGAGCGGCTTTTTATCTTCACAGAAGACCACACGCTCCTATTTAATTACAAGGCTGCCAATTTCCATTTGGAAAGGAATCTCCAGTCTGAATACCTTTAAGAAAGCCCTGCTTTACATATTTTTTATTTTCTTTTAGCATTTAATACTTAAGTTATTATTTATTTACAAATATTTGCTATTATAAATGCTATTTAAAGAAATAAATACATTCTACCTGTCATTTTGTGATGTTCTCCCCAAAGCAGGGAAGAGAAGTGTTAAAAGTCAAATTTACGTCAGTGTGCCAGGGTAAGAACAGTACTGGTTTTAGAACCATATATAAACTTCAAATGCAAGATGGTCTGCTTTCTAGAGAGTATGCGTGCGCATACAGAACGTAAGACCGTGCACACATGCTTACATACTCGAAGCGCGTTTTTCACGAATATTTGTCACTTGTGTGTTTGCTAACGCTGAGGAAGCCCGCTATGGTTTGGATGTAAAAATACTAGGATTGCTCTATATAACTGGAGAGCCTGCATTTCAACTTCTAAATAGCCTCTTTGCTGAAACATTTGTCTTCTGTAAAAGCGATGAAGTCAGTTCTCTAAAAGGGTCGTTGGTTTTAGTGGGAGAATGCTCTTCAGCTTTGTTACCCAGCCCAACCAGAGTCTTTTGCAATATGCAGATTTGCAAACCGAGTTGTTAGGGAAGTGCCAAGGTCTTCCCCCCTTTGCCACCTGAAATGAACTGATCAGGTGAGAGGCGTGTGGTATCGTCTGTATTCATGTCGATTGTCTAACGCTTTATACACAAACACACAAATGCAAATAAGGCAATAGTAAAAATGCAGCCAAGGGGCTGGATTTAGTTGCTTTTTTGGCAACTCCTCTGAGCTGGCAGAAAAAGCCTCCAGTTAGTATCACATTTACTGCTTCTCTCTGGAAGTGCCAAAAAACCCCTTACCAATCTCCTCCTGCCTGCCCCCCCCCCCCCCCCCAAAGTTAAAATACTAAGAGGGCTGGTTGAACGCACACATGTGTGATGGGAAACTGAAATTATCTCTATATGCCAAGAAAAGGTGTAAAATTTACCAGCTGGCCTCCTCTGAAGTTCATTCCCTGCTGCAGCATGTGAGCTTTTTAGAAAGGATTTCCAGTTTCTAATAGTCATGTAATCTTTGCACGGCAGTATTTTAACGTAAGCTGGTGGGTATATTTGGGGCTGTTAACTTCAGGGAAGCAGGCTGCCTAGCCACTCTGCGAGGTTTAGCAGTACAACAGCGGTTTTGTGATACGATTTGAAGCGAAGTTCAAAGCACATGGTGACCTCCAAGCCTAAAGCTTATTTCAAATGCTGCTTTTAAACCAAACATTCTGTAAACTTCAGGCTGTCAGTAAGTGTTCGGCTCGGAGGCCTTGGCATGACACTCCTGATACATCCTCGGTCCCCAGCGTAGCCCTTTTTCTAGGGAGGTCGACTACTGCTGTAGCATTCGCTCACTGGCAGGTGAACTGACATCCTGTCTGAATTTCAAACCGCTGAATACTGTCACAATACAGATTCTGTGGTTAGAAGGAACAGAAGAAGAGGGAGACGGTGTTTCATATGAACTTTTTTCTTTCATGCTAACTGGAGGATTAATTATACACACACAAAACTTTAACTATGTTATTTTCTAGACCAGCTGATGACACCATGAGCTTGACACCTTCTTAAGACCTTTGAACATCTTCCCCCCCCCCCCCCATGGTCACTATTGGTGGCATCATACGCACGCACTTTTCTAGCGTTGGCTGTGTAGTAACATCACTATGAAGCTGCTGTGCGCCAGAGGGGGCAAAAGAAATGATAGTTTCGTTTGTGGTGTATGGGCTTAACAGGCAGGTGTTTTTTTCTGAAGTTTCTCAGTGACTTCAGTGCCCATAAGCCTTCCACTTGTTTAAAGCTGCCTGGAGTTAGAGCCATGCTGGCAGGCTGGGCAGCGAGCTGGCCTGGGGGTCAGTGGCAGGGCTAGTGACTGCTGCTCTGGGAGCGCACAGAAAATAAATAACTCTGTTCGCATGGAAGGGAAAAAGCTTCTAGAAGGAACTGGTAGCAGCATCCAGGCAGGACAGAAGGTTGTCCCAAAACTTCATTCAGTTTTTACTGTGACTCCAGTTTATACTGGATATTTATATGGATATTTATATCCATATTTATATGGATAATGAAGGGGAGCCCTTTCAGGAGACCATTACAACTTCCTTGCCTTTGCTCTTCTGTAGAAACTGCACAGTTTGTTATCACCTCATTCTGGCACCTGTAGTTCCTGTCACAAAATGGCTGTGGCTGTGGCACAGTCCACAGCTGCTTCACCGCACCGTTGTGATCAAGAAAATGGTATTTTTATTCCTTAAACTACAATATCTATCTACTATAAACAAATAATAAATAAACTTCACAGGTTCTCATTTTGATGAGGTGGTAATTACAAACCAGTACATGGCATGTTAGCCTTGCCGTTTGATGCAAGCTCTGGGGTGTGGACACCTAGCAACTCCGGCATTTTAAATGCTAAAAATCTGAACACTGAATTATAAACCCAATTGTACAACTGTACCAAACTGGAGCGCCACAATCCCACTGCCCCCTTGCCATGCCAGAGGAACTGAAGACCTGCCATAGTATTTAAGCAAGCGCTACAAACGATGCCCTGAAATACAAACAGGCTTGCAGAAACAGATACCGGAACCAAAAATACAAAAAAAGAGCTGCTGTGTGCCTCCCCGCTGAAAAGCAGACGACCTGCCTACCACTAAGGCTGTTTGAATTAGGGGGTTTGCTGCGGTTACTGTAGTGGCGGGGGGGGGGGGGGGGGGGGGGGGGGGAAAGGGCTTTTACCAGATGGTACCCAACTGTCAGGACAGGCAGCAATTGCTGTTACTTCTTTTACTTTGCACAGGCAATGAAATATAGGGAGACAGGCTTAATTCTGCCCTTTAGGCTGTCCAGCTCATTTGCAGTGTCTTAGTGGCCACGTTCCCCCTCATTCTGCTGTATGCATCTCACACTACTCTTGCTGCTATACAGAAAATGTCGCTATTGGGGGGCGGGGGTGGGAGGTACTTCTTAACTGCATTCAAAATTTTGGAGAAGCTTTTAGAAGATGTTCTTGAACAGGTACTACAGATGGTAGGAATCAGGCCATACATTTTACCTTTTTTTTTTTTGTCTCTAGAGAGCAGCTGTT